CTGTCTTATCCAAAGTATACCTCTCTATTTCTTTCCATAAGCCATTTAGTGTACAAGGATAACAGTGTTTCAACACTCATGTAAACAATCCAATTAGACAAGTGTACAGGTTTGGCGACTTGACTTACATTTCCATATTGAAAAGGTTGAATCCCCGTTTCATTCTCTAGCTGTTTAAAGTACATAACAGTTGAACAAGGGTATGGCTGGATCCTTTATCTTATTGTATACTGTTGCCTGAGACATGTGTATAGCTTTTACCACAGACTTTTGTTGTTATTTTTAGACTCACACTTGTTACATTTACTATGGTTTTGGTACCACTTCTTCATATCTAAAGTTTGAATACTTTACGCTAACATGTAAAACAGTCCTTTTCAAGCCTACTTAGATTGTATTATAAACGAATATATTTAAAATCACGAGTTAATCATGCAGTACGCTATACAAGTAGTCAAACTATAACTAAATACAACGAAATAAAATAATTTAATTATTCAAACACTTTGTGTTACAAACTAAACACAACTTTAGTTAATATTTTTATATGATATACATCTAAGATTGGAACATTCTAAGATAACAAGAACATTCCTCTTCGTAGGTTGTACATAAATTTAAAATATTCAAAAACGCTTTATTATAGTTATTCAATTGAAACTATAAAGTTCACCCTAACGATAATGTTGAAACTAATAACGTTTTAAAACTATAAAGAATGAACAGTATCATTTTACGTATAAATCGACACGATACAGTCGTTTAAGGACTACATATATTGTAAATTAATGTATGAATACGAATACGATTCATAAAATAAGTATCTAGAGTCACAAGCAGGCCCCTACGTATATTGTAAGTTAATGATACATATAATAAGTATCTAGGGTGTAAAGCTTTTGGATTAAGATTGTTATGTATCCGTTTGTTTGTTTCTGGTACAAATTTTTTCGAAGGATCTTCAGCGACACAAGTCCTTTCTTGATTAAACCAGTTTATTCTTCCTCGATACAAACTTTCAGTACACAGTAGTTCCACAATCAGTACGTTTCTCGTCACTTTAAACTTAACTTTTATACTACACGCTATAAATCACAGTGATTCACAATCTCGATAACTTCACCCTCTACGAGGGTAAAACACACACTTT